CATCTTGAACTTTCTACAGCTCTCACTGATCTTGACTTGAAGAATTGCTAGAATCCTTGAATGTCTGCACTTGCTAGCCAAAATGTAAATTACTATGGAGATACATGTACTCAAAATATTGAGTTAAAACATGTCCTCTTCCCCAACTTAAAAAGTTAAAAGCTTAAAAAAATACATAAGTCCAGTCTAATAACCTCAATCAACATTTTCTTGCCTTTATTTTAACTGAACGTTTTTCTACTTATATTTAATTAGAACATACATAAAATTGAACTACCTTTCCAAATTACTCTGATTTTTCCAGTAATTTATTGACTAAATCATTTGTTCATTTAATATATAAAGTACCCTATTTTTGGTAGGGTCATAAACATCATAGCTTATTGCATTGGAACAAAGAAAAGGAAAATGTTTCCTATTATAGAATGGTGTTTTAGGTGCCAATGGTAATGTATTAAAATGCTATTTTATGTAGTCAAATTTGCAAGAACAACCATTTTGTGACAGATCAAATTTGGTCTCATCTAACAAAAAAAACAACAGGGTTCAGTGGCCCACATCTGTAATTCTAATTTTGGAAGGCTGAGGTAGGATAGCAAGTTTGAATTCTACCTAGGCAATTTGGGGAGAGTCTCTTCAAAAATACAAAATAAAATTTTGCTGGGAATGTAGCTCCATGTGAAGACACGGGGTTCAATCCCCAGCAGTGCCAAAAAAAAAAGAAAAGTTAAGTCGGTATATTAATTTTCTTCCTTCTAGTCCAGTTCCTTAAAATGTATGCAGAGTTAATGGAAGAAAAAGCTACTCTCTTGCTTGCTTAATTACTCATTTGCTTGCTTGATTACACTTACAATCAAAGCAATTTTGTTCATTTTATGCAAAGTGAATTCTAATTTTCTTGTATTGTTTAGTTAAAGTAGTCTTCTATATAAACTTCTTATCAACCCCTAGTATGGCAATGCATTTCTTTAATAAACACTATCAAAATTGTCCCAGAGGTTTTTTGCATAGGTTTTAGTATTACTAGTTTCAATAGTAATTTCATTTAATTAACATTTGCAAAACTATCACTGCCCAAGGTTACAAGTGTATAATTCGTCCCACTGGGAAAACTAAATCTTTACTACCATGAATCTTTTATAGAAGATCATCATAGAACCCTCCTGGTAGCCATTCATGCTAATGTGCTTCCAGAATACTAATACAGCTTTGAATCCTATTTCTGTTTACTTTAATGATAATATTTTATATTTAACAAATTAAGAACAATTGAAAACAAAATTTCAACACAAAAATCATGCAATTTAGTGAAATGCAGACTTTTCTGTATGTTCAAATAGGCCACTTTCTCTAGAGATTGCTTACTTAAACTACTAAACAATGCAAAATCCAATCTAAAAGAAAAAATTAACAATTTTAATATACTACCTTAAGAAATTTCATATTTGTGTAATGTTCAAAATTCAACATTGCCACCTACATGTATATAAAATGTTCTCTTTAGAAAAACTAAACTGGTTGTGCAGAAATTTGTTTTAAGCAGAGCTGATATTAAAACATTCATTACAACTTTTGGTTTTTTTTGTTTGTCTTGGTGCTGTTTTTTCTTCATTTTCTGACTAATCTTGCTATTTTATTTACTACCTCTGCTTTCAGTTCCTTAAATGTCTGTGTTACAAGGTCTGATATGCATTCTTTTTTCTTCTTTCTTGTATCAAGTGTCCCTCCCTTTCCTACCCAATCTTGCAGAGACTTTGCAAATTCTTGAGAAAAATTTGGCTTCTGACTCTTTGAATGTTAGCACCTATTTAAGACTAACTTCTAGGACACTGTGCAGACATCCCATCAGCTTCTCAAAAAGCAGTTTATACATGGCCGGTTCATAATCATTTCCTTTGCAGTGACAAAGACATCAGCTATGGTTTTACCAAAATGCTGTCACTAGAGCAATCAGTGCAGACAGCTGTGAAACTCACAGAACGATCCTGGTGAGGAGGAGAAAAACGGATGGAACGTGGCTGTAATAGACGTAAGCGGGCACAGGCAATAGGCATGTCATAATGATTCGTCAAGTATAAAGTGGCAAAGGCCTATAATAAAGAAATGATTTGACTATTGGAATACTGAGTAAATTAAGTGAGTGAGAAAATCAGCAAGCTGTAGAGAATTCCCTTTATGTCTTAGGTGATGAATTGTGCTACTCCCAAACTTCATATGTTGAATAGCTAATGACCAGTACCTCGGAGCATGACTGTATTTAAAGCTAGGGCTTTTAAACAAATGATGAGTTTTAATTGAGGCGTTCAAGGTGGGCCCTGATCTAATTTTCCTTGTGATAAGAAGAGAAAATCTAGACAAGCAAAGCAACATAAGAAATGAGTGAGAAAAAGGGAACAGAAGGTGTGGACGTAGTGAGGAGGTGATCATCCCCAAGCCGGTGAGAGAGGCCCAGGAGGAAAGCAAATCAGACGACACTTTGATCTTGGACTTCTTGTCTCCATAATTGCGAGAAACAAATATCCATTTCTTAAGCCTCAGAGTCACTAAATGGGGCATAATAGTTTGACTTACAGAAATGGGATTGTTAAGGTTTGTGGCAGATCATCATGATCTATTTTTTAAAAATATGTTCTGGTGATGTTACTGTCATTAATTAATAACCTTCAAATAATAATAAAAACTACGTATAAAAATAAGACATGGGGGCCACACTTAATCATTTTCTATCCTAAATGGACCTCCCTTGACGTTTTCTCATCATCTCTCTGCTTCTTATTTTTCTTATTTTCTCTCTCTCTCTTTGTTATCCACGTTATTCTAATTTTTTAATATATGTGGCTCAATTATTGTTCATATCCATCAGTTACATTGTTCTCACTCAATACATATATGCAATTTGAGATAATCAAATCAGGCTACTTAGCATATGCATCTCCTTTTCAAGTTCTTTATGAAATAAATAAATAGCTGTAAATTATAGCCATCCTGCTGTGCTATAGAGTGCTAGAATTCATTCCTCCTATTTAACTATATTTTGCTTACCCTTATACTCTTATCTCATCCTCTTCCTCTTCTGTACAAAGTCTCTGGAATTAGTGGTTCAAGAATTAATTTTGCAATCCTCCTCCTCACTCCCCAGCACTCTCAAACTAATGTGATTGCATGGCTTGCATCCCTGCATGACCTATGTATGTATTTCGGGCTCCATGGAAAGATGTTTGTGTATGGGAACAATTCTGAAGGTAGAGGTGACGTTCAATTGAACTGTTATTCCTTTCCTACATTCGTTAACCCACTGAACTCACCAAACGGAAAACCAACACCATCGAATTGCTAATGGCCATCAGCCCTACAGAACCCTACGTGAATTTGCAATTGATTATTATTCCTCCTTCTTCCTCTTTAATGCCTAAGATTATAAAATGTCTCCTGGTTTTTCTCCCACCCCTCTGACTGTCCTGAGGAGGTCTCTCCTGCACTTCTTTCTCTTCCACCTATATTCTCCATACCATCTCGTCCTCATATCTACACTCTCCTTAAATGAATAGCCCCTTGGATTATCTCAGAGATTCTTAAAGTTTTAAACTGCATTATAGACCACTTGCCTCTTTCTTTCCTGTTCTGTATATTGAGTCCCAAGGCACCCTTGAACAACAGGCATATCTGATGAGTCACTACTGTGTAGCACCTACTGAATGTGCCCTTAGTATCTTTCTTAGTCATTTTTCTTGTCACTGGGACAAAATACCTGATGCCTGCAACCCAAAGGAGAGGTTAATTTTGGACCATGTTTAGCAGGCTTAGGTATAGAACTGGCATGGTGGAAGGGTCTGGAAGGAGCAAACTGCTCACATCATGGTGACCAGGAAGTGGAGAAGGTGGAAACTAGGTAGATCTTCCCAGGTCATGTGCCCATAGACTCTGCTCCAAGCAGGTGATAGGATCAAACGGCACATTTATCTCTGAACTCATCCATGAATTAATTCACTGATGAATATAGTGTCCTTGAAATCTAATTGCCCTCAAAAGTACTATCCATGAGCACATGAGGCCTCTGAGGGACATTCCTGATCCAAACCGTAACAGTATCTGGAGCACATACACCTGTATTCCACATCTAAATATAGGCTGTACTATCTGCAAGGTTTCTTCAAGTCTTTAGCTTGGAATCAGTCTAGCTATAACCCATGAGTCCAAGATTGTGAAAGATTCACCTGATATTTCTCAAATGTGATATTGTCTTCTCTGACTCAACTATCATTTTACCTACTATAGTGACAATCTGACTGTCTCCAGTTCAGTTGTCACTGTACTAGTCAAAACCTCAAAAATCTATTTCCCAGACTGATGCAACCTCTGAACTGGTCTCTCTAATCCAAATCTTTGCCCCTTATATCTATCTTCTGTATTATGATAAAAGTGATGTATTAAAAATCATACGTTCCTTTGATGAAAAGCTTCTGATCATTTCTGTTACCCAAAGAGATGTAACTCATACATCACACAATACTTAAATTTCCTGTTATAATATGTTGCAAGACTGTCCTAATGAAGCTCTTTAAAATTCCTTCATCCTCAGTTCTCACCTTGCACTTTACGTTTTTGGGGCAACAAATTCCCCTTGATCTTTTCAGGCTGTTTGGTTTCTCTGTAGCTCTGAGCATGCTGCCTCTTCTGCCAATATGTCCCTTTCTACCTCAGACTGATATTTTACCCTAGGCCTATTGATACTCTTTTCTCTAGATTTCTTCAACCACCCACTTTCCAAGAAACAGGAGATATTTATACCTTAACAAAGTCCTATCAAACACACTACACTAGAACAGCAGCCTACTGGTTCAGCTATTAGATAAGTGGTATTTTAGCTTTTATTGCCAGTCTAACACAGAGTATTACACATGGTGACTTAAATTCACTCAGAATCAGCAATCAGAAAGTACTCATGTGTTCATTCTATTATGAAGCCATGTCATTAGAATCTCTGCATTGGTATCACTCACCATGTTTATGGGATCGACTGGTCCGATGCTGTTTACGTAAACATCAGTTTCTATTACTGTAGGCCGCACTGCAAAATGCCAACACAGAAAATGGTCAAATTTGTCATCAAAGGTTGTCTTAAAGAAATTTTGACTTTAGACCAATCATAATAATTTGTAATATTTCAGTGTTTTAACCATAAAAGTTCACTTATTATTAAATGCAGAAACAGGGGCTGGGGATTTAGCTCAGCGGCAAAAGTGCCTGCCTGGCAAGCGCAAGGTCGTGAGTTCGGTTCCCTGTACCAGAGAAAAACCAAAAAAAAACCAAAAAAAAAAAAAAAAAAAAAAAAATGCAGAAACATAGCCTCTTATAAAAAACACAAAATTTTGTTTCCAAATCAAAATATTTTAATTAGAAATGCAGTGTACATGTTGAAGATATTAAAAAATATGTAAATCATTCATCTAACACAAGGAAGTAAATTTCATAAAATATTGGCTTTATTTAATGACCTTTGCAAGACTAAGGACCATTCATATCCATATATTTTCCTCATTGCTGTGCAAAACATTTTCAGTTTGTTTTACTCCCTTCACAACCACCAAGAAAGACCTAGAGCTCATTTTTTGATTCAGCAAATGTTTGCTAGGTGTAAATTGTTAACAAGGCAAACAAGAGGACAAAAATGTCCAGAAAAAATTTCTCATATCTTTCTCAGAGTGTTTACAAAGAAAAAGCAATGGGATAAAGCAGAGAAACATAACCTTGTAGACTGAAAGTTTGTCTGCTCTTGTAGCATGATTTTGGGCATTTCTGCTAAGTTCATCTTTCTAAAATTTGTCTAATTTTCTTCTCTGTCCTAGTATTTGTCACTCTTAGTTTAGAAGCAATGACTGATCTGGCAGCTGTACTTCCTACTCTAAATTTTGAATCCAGTAATCTGAGTATTCCCCAGACCTTTTGCTCCTGTCTAACTTTCTTGAAATTTCCCTGTATGGCAGAACCTCTAATTGAAAAATTTTGCTATTTTGCAAAATCCTACTTGTACAGATTTAAAATAACACTCATTTTTACCCTTTGTAATGGAAAAACTAATCTACATTTACAAAAATAGATAATATTTATTCTGGTTTTGTGACTTGTTTTTATTAAATATTATACATATTTTCTTAAAAAGGAAATGAGTAAGATTTGTTAAGATAGTTGCAATATTTGAAATTAAAAGTTTCTAGACCTATACATCACAGAAGAGTAATTCATCCTCCTAATCAACAATTGGCTATTGTAATTAGAAGTAGGTCATGTGACCTATAGAAGATTTTATAATTTAACTTAGATTGATGACCTCTAAGATAAATTGCTCTAATCATTTACCATTTATTTCTGACTAGCTATAAATTGTAGCTAATATATATCACATAATTAGTGTAATTATGGCTAGGTTTACAGAATGATTTTTAGGAAAGTCAATTAACAACAATGCAAAAGGTTTTCTCTTTTCAATTTAAGAATATTTATTGCCAGTTATAAGCAATGTACCGTGCTTACATAATTAGCTTTCTTTCCAATTATGGTGATAAATCAACAAAAACTGAGTTCCTGCATTTACTATGCAACCCCTGTGGCTAAATACTACCTTCACCGAGAGAAGTAAATGATTCCTAGAGGCATTTTTAGTTTCAGGATGCACTGGTCCCATTTATAATGTAGAAATAATTAGTTGTAAGTCAGTGAGCCTGCTTTCCTGACATCCAACCTTCTCATCCAATCATAAGACGAGGCTAGGGCTGTTAGAAAAATTAATTCCAGCCTTACGGTCTGAGCTCTGCCTCACAATGGATATTAAGGTACTTTATGAGCAACGAAAAGCACCTGGCCTGGGGATGGGATGTAGGAGAATCTTATCAGAAAGTTCAAGCTAGAAAACTGCTGTTAATAAGAAGAGAATTTACAATAATTAAATATTTATGTACACATTTTGATTTTTTTTTCAGTTATTATGTACCCATCTTGTAACTTTGGGCTATGAGCATTTGATCCAGTCCTTTAATTTGCAGACTCAAAAAGAGAGAAAAATTCAATCTGAAAGTAAAATGAAATATTTAATATTAATTTTGAAACTACAGGTGGTCATTATGTGCCTCAAAATGCATGATTAAAAGAAAAGCAGTGGAAATCTGTAGCTGTTCCGTAATGTGCAGTGACTCATTGCAGCTTTGATTGACTTACACTATGAATCACACTTGTGGATAAAATTACTTAGAGTTTCATGGAAGGTGAAAAAACATCGCCTTTCAGCACTTTGACTTTCTTAGACCAGCTGTTCTATAGTGAGATTTGCATGATGTTTAAACAGAAAACATCATCTTTTAATTCAAAACTAGAAAAATACCACTAAAAGAGAAATGTCATTCCAGGCTTATTAAATGTTGTCTTGAAAGTAGGAACAGATTATGTTTAATTCGTCACACATACAGAGATCAAAGATTTTTCTTTGCCACAGTGTAGCAGTGAGTGAGAAACCCATGTACTACTACAGAAAATTACATTTTTCATACGTAGAAGGCAGGTATAGATGACACTCGATCGTTTCTCGATCTTTTCTGGGCCATGACTCTAAGTACTGTCTTTAGTGTAGCGAACGTAAGTAGATAAACTCCCAGCGAGAATGAGTAGGCAAAAAAAAAACCAGAGATTGACAGCAACTTGAGCATCCACAATAAGAAAGAAAAAAAATTAAAGTTGAAAAACAAAAGCAGTAAAAATAATATGACTTCCATGTTCAGTTCTAAGTGGCTAAGGCAAAACTGAGAAAGACAAGTTACAGAGGTGGGGGCCTGGGTTATTGGAACGTGTAAACTAAAATATACACCAAAACATGTTCTCCAAATTGATCTTAAACATTGTTTCCTGAATACCTTATTCCAGTCTTTAAGAGGTATTCAGCAAATTATGTAGTGTTTTGGTCATTTTTATTTTTTTTTAGTCAATTTAGGTCAATTAAAAATTCCAATGCTGAAAAAATAACATTTACAGATATTTCCTACCTTTCAGAAAAAAATAAATAAGCAAAGAGTCCCACTGGCTCAAATATTACAGTGAAAACACAGAAATACTTGTTTTCTGTTTTAAAACTCAATTTGAATTAAAAAATAATTTCATAAAACTAAATATACTTCTCCCCCTCAGCAAAAGAGACATCAACAGACCTACCGAATCCACTCAAAGAGTTTGGAGTTTCTTAGCATGATATAAGAGTATATCAAAGAAATAAGGATTTGGTAAAACACCTACAAGCCATAAAATAAATACAGGAAAGAAATATTGCACAATTTAAAAAAAGAAATCAAGATTCAGCACAAATCAAGCACAGAAACTCCTCAAATATAAAAAGGAAGAAAGTTATAGGAAGATATTCAAAACAGTTCAATGCATTCACACATTCGGGAATAAGAAAAAATTATTTTGGATGAGAAATTCAGACAGTACAAAAGGAATGAACTTTTCTTCCCCTTAAGTAAACAGGCAGAAATAAGGAATTGATCTAACATAGGAAAGAAACAGAAGCAAAAGACAAACTTATGAGATAAGTAACAGTCAATACAATAAAATATTACTAATAGCCAGGAGGAAAATCCAACCAATATAAATGTGATAAAACAAAGTCAGAAGGTCAAAGAGCAAGTTTTAATATACAAGACAAGCAAAGTGTGATTAACTAATCTATATCTGCAACTCATGAGTGAAGTCAGTGCAGTGGAACAGAACTAATAATCAATATTTTAATGGAAAATACATAAGTAAATAAATCTTTCCAGAGTGGAAGAACATTTGAAACTTCCTTGTGAAAAGAATTACTGAACAGCTCTGAGACTTAAACTAGTAAAACTATTCAGTTGAAAGATTAGAAAGACCTCAAAGGTCTCCTGAAAAATCAATCAATCAATCAGTCACAAGGCCTAAACAACTGGACTGGTATCTAACTTCTCAAAAATAACACACAAAATAATTCAACAGAGAAATAACCTATTAAAAAGAAAACTCAAAAAAAAAAAAAAAAAAAAAAAAAAAAAAAAAAAAAAAAAAAAAAAAAAAAGAACCAAGGGTTTTATATCCAGCTAACCTGTCACTCACATATCAAGTTAGTGGAAAAACAGTTTCCCACACATAAAAATTATCTCAAAAATGTACTCAGGGAATAAATGACTGGGAAAACTTCACCAAAAAGGAAACTATTGCTAAGTCTTGGAAACAGCGTACATGGCCATAAACAGATGAATAGATAAGGAAAATGTGTATTTATACACAGTAGACTGTATAGACTGCTATGAAGAAACATAAACTTTAGGATTTCATAGGTAAATTAATGCAACTTAAGAGCATAATGTTAAATGAGGACAGTCAGTCACAAAAGCTTAATTATTTATTGTAAAAACTAGGATAATATTCCACACATATCAAAAATCATTTTGAACCTGGCAGGCTCATGATTGTAATCCCAGTACTTCAGGAAGCTGAAACAGAAGGATCTCAAGCTTGAGCTCAGCCGGGACATTTTAGCAACTTAGCAAGACATTGTCTTAAGGTGAAAAATAAAAAATGGACTGAGATGTAGCTCTGTGACAAGACCCTGGACTCAGTTTCCCCTACTGTCAAAAAATAGTAATAATATTAATTTGAAGTAACCACAATATTGGATGTGCTGGAAATTGAATATCACCAGTAACACTTGAAACAAATCTTGTTAAAAATGAATAGCACAATAACCCTGGAGGGAGGCAGACCATCCTAAATAAATTTGTGGAACAGTAGTCTGAATATGTAACATAAAGGAAAAAATGTGTAGAAATATTTTATTCATTAAATTTTCAGATACATATGATAAGTGGAAATATTAAATTCAAAAACTACACACATTTACTAACCCTGAGCAAATAAGATGATATCATACACGACAGCCAAGTTTTCATTGTTGGAAAAGGGAAAATCTAAGAAGAACTCTATGGTATTTGAATTAGAATCAGAGCCTTCAGTACAAAATCAAAATTGAGATATAAGGGGCTAAGAATATTTGCACAGTCTCACAGTATCACCTCAAGACATATGAAGGAATACCAAAGCTAAAAATTAGAACTTTGCCGTAGAGGAATCCCATGCAAAGCACACTTAACTATCCGGAGAAAGCTAACATTATAAGCAGTAAGATGCATTAACTTCATGTACTTCCTGCTATAAAAATTCAAAGGGCACACTATCACTACTGTGGTGACTGGATAAAAATGCATAACTTCACCCTAGTAATAAAAATAACATGTAATCTCCAATTTAGGGACACTCAGCTGGGTAATGCTCCTTACAGTTAGTAAGGTCATAAAAGAAAAACTGAGAAAATATACCAGATAAACAGAGAGTAAGGGAACATGAGAACACATTGCATCTTTGGTAGAATACTTCAGCAGAAAACCAAGAACATTAGAGAGGTACGAAACAAAATAAAGTTCTATAGATCAGTTCATAGTATTGCATCAATATCATTTTGTGGATCCTGCAAATATTCTGTGGTTATATATGATGTTAACCTTAAGGTTTACATTAAGGGATTATGGAAATTCTATGCATTAATTCTAAAATTTTACTAAACCAGCTATTTACTTTACTAAGTCTACAATTGATTTTGAAAAGAAATTATTTTAGCAATACACAAAAACAGACAATTAAACAGAAGGAAAATAGATTAATATAATTAAACTTTGCAAGGCAATTAAAGTTCAGGTAATTCTTCAACATTAAAATTTGATAAAATTAAATTTTACTTCTATGATAATACAAATAAAATGGAAAAAGTACTTCAAGGTTAATTCAGAAATACAGGAGCAGGTTACTAATAATAGGAATACAGGCCAGGGATTTAGCTCAGAGGCGCAGCACCTGCATGGAAAGCACAAGGTCTTGAGTTTGATTCCTGGTAAAAAAAAAAAAAAAAAAAAAGAATAAAAGAAGGAAAGTCTCACATATTAAAAATATCACAAAAAATTATAAAATAATTCAACACTTACTTTGAAAGCTTTAGAATAAATTCCTCTCAAAGTTCAATTTCTCGCAATTGACCGAAAAGTAGCAAATTTTCATAAACTTATGTTTAAAATGTTGAAGTGTGAAAAAATCTTTCCCCAAAAGTAAACTTTAAGCCAACATGTCTTTGCCAAAATATATTTCCAAATATTTAAGAACTACATAGCATCTATCTTAGACAAACCCATGTAGCTCATGTGCAGGTACAAATAAAATCTTAATTTCAAAACCACAAGATATTACAGAAAGTAAAATGACCAATCGATATCTTCCATGAGCATCAAATTTCTTCCAGTGCTACTTTTAAATGTTACTAGATCAGAATAAAGTAAATTTGTAAAGGAATAAAAAGTTTTAATTTTTAACTTGCTCTAAGATATTTATAGAATAAATAGCAGGTCAGGTAAAGAACTAACTATGATCCATATGATTATTTCAATACATGCACAGAAAACATTTGATAAATCATGTTGGAAGTAGATCCTTACCAAAAAAGAGAATGTAACAAAGTATCCTTACAAAAGAAGTCCACAGATAACATCACACCTACTAGTAAAATATAGATTCTTTTTTTCTGATATCAGAAACAAGCCAAGAATATTCAACATTGTGCTCTAGTCTTAACCACAGCAATCTGACATGAGAAAATGTATAATATGGGAAACAAAGAATTAAGATACAATAAAAAGCAAAAATAGTCATGAGCCTCTATCTTATAAAATCTGAGAAATATATCAATATATTATTAAATTAATAAATTTAGCAAGGATTCTGAAAACACAGTAAATATACAGAGTATCTCAAAACATAGAATTAGAAAATCCTTCTTTATTAAAAAAAAATCCAATTAATCAAGCTGACAATACCTCTTCAAAGAAAAGATAAATTTTGAAATTATGTGTAAATAGAGAAATGGGTAATGTTTACAAGTTTGATATGCTAAAAGTTCAACGTGGTAAAGATTTTAGTTTCCCTATGTTGGCTATAAATTTAATGCAAGCTCAGTGAAAGTCTTTGTTTCCATGCATTTGTTTTAAAGAGTTACAGTGGATTTACATACATACAAAATTCCTCCTTCTTTCCCTGCTCTTTTCCCACATCCCAGTTGCCCATTACTCTGGAGCGGTTTCCTATCATTTCACAGTGCATATACAGGATAGTTAACACGGTTGTTCTTTTGTCTTCTAGTTCTATGCTGAAAGAAATTGTCAATGAGTCTTTGGTTGATCAGTATTGCATTTCTATATCTGTTTTCATGAGAAGCCACTTTGAAGATATCAATATGTGATACAACAACCATTGTTAATTCCCTACCACTTTGTTTGTAACTCTGTATTGTCTGTACTGTTCTTTTGATATGTTGTAAGATGTTGTCTGTCTGTTAATGTTTTCCTCCTTTTATTTTTAAAAGAATACAAACAAACAAACAAAAAAGAGTTACAGTGGATTAAATCAGATCCAGAAAGTTAAATACTGCATGATTTCACTTATGGGAGTAACCCACAGGATAAATAAAGTGTAAAATAAAAGAAAAATGGCAGGAAATGGGGAGGCAGCCTTTCAGAACTGGGGAAAGAGGACAAAGGAAAATGGAAGAGGAAGAGGGGAGGGAAAGAGGCAAACCTGCAGAATACCATGTGTGTGTGTTTCGGTGTGTGTGTGTGCTTGCAGGTATTTATACTTATTCCCTAAAGTGAATAAAATTATAATCTAATATAAATATATATCAATATAATTAATATTAAAATCTTTGTATGAAACTTACAAATTATTTTTCTGATAAAATTTATATGTAATTTCAAACAACCAAGAATAACAGTCTTAAATAAAGTCAATTGCCTCCACCAAATATATCATCAAAATTTTAAATTCTCTGTCCAGTAAAATAATGTGGCACTGGTATCGAACTATATGTCTCTGTTAAGCTTTCTTATGGAGCATCTCTCAGTCCTTCAGAAAATTTTTTCAAAATTCTGCTGTAGCACCTTTGATAGCAGCCATAGAATAATTACATCTCTGGTTTCACTTTAGACGGTAAACTTCAGACAGTGGTCATCCCAACTAATAGTCCTGAAACCCAGCATGGTCTCTGACATATATTAAATACTCAAAAGCTGTGAGATAAATGATGAAATAGCATGACATAAGATATTTTTCACAGTCAACAACATCCCAGAACAAGCACTCTAACTTACCTCCTATATCTGGACGAAGTTTATTGTCATAACCTTGAAGCAATGAGTTGAGAATTTGTGTAATATCTCCTTCATGAATTTTTGGTGCCAATACCCATGTTTTGTTCACTGTTAAATCTTCATCATCTTCATCATCTACTTTATCAGCACTAAATAATTCAAAGAAAATTGTGGATGACATAAAGTTAATCAAACTGTGTATACCAAATTCTTTAAGATCAGTTTAATTGCATAAGGGAGTATAAGGCTGGAAAAAAAATTACAGAAATGTTTATGCCATTGTCCTATGAACTATCCTGATATAATAATACTCAGAAATTAAGAATTTAGTGCATGAAACACAATGTACAATACTAAAATAATAAATTTTGACTACTCCCACAGCTACCATTAAAACTCATACAACCTTAAACTAGCCTTGGAAATGATACCCGATTCTGCACAATCATACATGCTGACCCCAAAATATCACACTGAATAATAAAAATTACAAGATGAAGAATTAGAGGAAGAGGTACAATAGCCTAGGAAAATATATGGAAACGTATGTATATAAAAGAAGAATTAAAGGAAGATGCATGACGAGCTACTTGAAGGAAAGAAAAGCACCGTTCCTCATATCCTGACTCCCCAGCTAAGATTTCTGGCCATGCTTCTGTGGCGAACAAGGCTAAGATTGACTTTCATTCTGAATTGTGGTAGAAACATGAGTAAAATTGCTATTTAACTACAATTCATCAAAAGTAACAAAATTTTCCTTATTACATAAAAGTAAACCAATCTTAAATTGACTTAAATCTTAAATTCCAGACTCAGCAACACAGACAATTCTAGCAAATGTCTAGTGTTCCGGTGGAAAAGGATCCAAAAGACAAAGCACTAACACTGGCAAATCTCTAACACACGCTGTTATTCGTACGTATTTTAGAGATATGCTTCTCTCCAGTGGCAAACCCGACAATATCTTACAATCTTTAGTTGATCATTGTGTCTTCCGTTCAGAACTCTTTTTCTTTGGACCTGAACATCTTAGTAAATGCAGCCCCCTCTTCTTTATGAGTATGGCTATAGATTGGATCTTAAATGGCGCCCAGAGGCTTCTGTGTCTGAGGCTTGATCCCCACCCCTTGGCACTCCTGGGAGATCATGGAACTTTCAGGAGCAGGGATCTAGTGGGAGGAAGGTAGGTCGCTCAGGAATGCCTTAAAAGAGACTGAACTCTGTTGTCTTCCTTTTCTGTTGTTGCTTCCAATCTGTCATGAAGCAAGCCTCATGTGCAGCCACGCGTTTCCCACCGTGAGGAGCTGCCATTAAGAGCTACAGGGCCGCTGCTCTAAGAGCTACAGGGCCGACTAAGGACGTGCAGAAACCTCCAAGTGTGGAGACAAAATAAATATTCTCTACTTATAAGCTCAAATCTTTTTATAGTATCAGAAAGCTGACTAGCACAATTATTATGGCAAATTGAAACAATCTTAAAGAATGTCTCATTTCATGTTCACAATAATTCAAGAACCGTAATTATCAACAGGTAGTGGGATGTATTATTTTTCCCAGCGTCTGTCCTCTTCTTCCTGTCAGGGGGTGATAATTCACACTGACTTCTAACTTGAAGTACTCATTTTGACAGGAGGATTACATAGTTCTCTCTACTGTTGAATTCAAGTGAGGTCCTGTGATTGGCTTTGGCCTATAGAAAATTAGTATATATGTCACTACCAAGCAGAAGATTTAGTATTATTGAAATATACCACATCTCTTTTCCTCCTGAAAGACAGGCATCCGTATTCAAAGGCTAATCCATTATGCATCCCCCTCATCAAAGTGGCATGGATTGAGACAAAATAGACCCACAATGGACAAGAAGCCTGAGAGAAAAATAAACAGCAAGGACTGGAAGCCACTGACTTTTGGGAGTATTATATTACCATGGCATAGCCCGGGATATCTCCAGAAATAGCTCCTGTGTAGTTCACTTTATTTTCATGTATTGTTTTTTATTTATTTACTGATTTATTTACAGATGTTAAATAATATGTGCCTTCATGTTGCTGCTTAGATTATCGTTGGTTTCTCCCATTCATGCCACCTCAGTTAAATAGACAGCGACTCCTTGAGTGAAAATTTACAAATGAACATAGAAGCTTTCATGCCCAATTTCTATGGATGAATTAGATGTCACAAAGTGTGTAAAGCTCAACTTTGACCACACATGTAGTTAACAGATTTTTCACTTGGGTATTTTATTGTAGTACTTGATGTGATACATTTAACTGTGTAAACTAGTATACTACTGAAATAACATGATTTCCTTCAAAATTTTCATTATTTTTCTCTAAATGAAATCAAGAGTTATAGATAAACTAAATATTGAAAATGCTGAAGTATTAAGAATACCTGTGAGTGTGTCACCCTGGAAAGTTTTTTTACCTAGTTAAATTTTTTGAGACATTGGCAGCAACCCAAATGTAGATTTCCATTCAGCTCTTAGTTCCAGCTTTAAAAAATGAAATATCTGGCAGGTGGTTGATGGCAGGTTACTACACATAAAAAGCAGTTGCTCTTGAAGTATGATTGTAGTCAAGCGGAAGTTCTCAGGAGAAGCTTTTAATGCTTTGTGCAATGGTAACCAGAAAACACAGCTACATAGTATTTTCGATTTTATTCTAGTCTATTCACAGAGATAATATGAGAACTGACCTCAAATTTTACAAAGTCATCTTTCCTCATCTTTGCCAATAACAGAAAGGAAATTTCACTATAGTAAATTTGTCTATACCTTTCTTTAAAGCATTAAAGGGTTGGTATTATGTACTACTGTACTAATATGTACTGGTATTCTTCTGTTTTCTCAGTTGTAAAATAAGTATACAAACATTTACTCCATGAAATTAATGTGTATGTGGACTACATTGAAAAAAATACTGTATTTAACAGAAACCAAACACATACTTTCAGAAATATAGTATATTGTAAATGCAAAATTCCTAGTAATAGCAATAAAGTCATCAATCGTTATAACAAACAATTAGCAAAATTGCATAATCAAGAGTCTAGGGGCTGGGGATTTAGCTCAGCGGCAAAGCGCCTGCCTGGCAAGCGCAAGGTCGTGAGTTCGGTTCCCAGTACCGGAGAAAAACCAAAAAAAAAAAAAAAGAGTCTAAAAGCATTTCTATTGAGGTTCCTTCAAAGCCTTATGTGCTCAAAGCGGGACTTTGGAAGTGTGATTGGATTATGTTCATAATTTCATAATATATGAAAATAGTATAAAACAATTTGTTTCTATCATCTATGTATAATCTTTAGAAAACAGTATAAAGTGTACATTTAATGTGCTTCAAATGTGAAATAGAGATCGCGTCTTTTTTCCTGCATGTTAATAGAACCCTCCAATTTCCTGTGTGCATGCTAAAATACTGTATTCATGTACAAAAAGGAATTCATCTGACAAGACTGCCTACTTACAAATGAACTGCCTCTTCTTATATGCCAGAAACTGCTCAGCAATTAATTTCTAATCATAGAAGATAAATAATTAAATACAGTCTCTTACAGAGAGAGACAGAACATTACAACCCGTCAAGAAAATTTTCATGGCCTCTTGAAAATTGGCCACTTGGTCCTCAGGCCTGGGAACCTTAGTTGCCTGAGCTTGCTGCCAGCACCACAGATCCACATTGAGTCTGTACAGACCCCTGCAGTCCCAGGCTGCTTTCAGGCAATAAATGAACATGCAGGGTGTGTTGGTGTAGATTCATTCCATTAGCACCTGGGTAGGCCCCCACAGAAGGGCACCTTGCAGTGAAGGACTTGCGCAGGCCCCGCCCAAGCTTTCTTAGAAGGACATTGCACTCTGAGACTTATGTGACTCAAGTTTCCCCTTCCCTGTTTTTAGAGGTATCAGCCATTCAATCTTAGGCAAAGCTGCTCTTCTTTCCAGCCCAACCCCTTCTTCTCTGCCTCACCTTTCCCAGACAGGACTTTCAAACTCTCTTCTCAGGTCTAATCTCATCTTGGCATCAGCTTCTCAAAGGCTTCTGCTTTCCTTCCGAAATTACAGCCTTTCAACTTTAAAGGAAGTCTTAAGTTGTGCTTAAGAAGTATTATTACTTCTTTTTGTTCTGCTAACTTTTTAAAGCCACATTATACATAAAAACTTCTCAGACAATAGGAGAATTTTCATATCAAAAGTACCTTAATGACTGCCCTACTCTTACATAACAAATAAGAATTTGAACTAATAAGAGATAATTTAAATACAAGGCATACTACTCCACACAATTATGAAGGAAAACCATCTTTAGCATTGATTAAAAAGTACATGCCTGTAGCTGGTCAATCAGCTATCATAAACTGTTTTTCATGGCAAGTATTTATTGAAGTTTCCCCAAGACAGTTCTACTTTATACTTGTGGTCCCTGAATAATTTTTAGTAGCACCTTCTCCTCCATGAAATGGCCTACTTCGAATGATAAATTATATCGTCACTCTGTAGATAGTTCATGTAAAAATGACTGCAAGTGTTCTCATTCTGACACACGAGGGAGCCTCTTCCATTAATCTGCTAAGGAAGCAGAGCTAAAACCCAGAGCACTTTAATGAGGTGCCCGAAAATTTGACTAAACTCTGATGGAATACTGATGGACTATTTTCCGAATAGTTTGAAAAAAATGTCGTAAGTACAAGTAAAACACAATGATGCCATTTTTATATTTCTTTGAAAGAAAAAAGAGTCACTATTTCTTTTACTAAGTATATATGGGGAAAAAAATCACTGGGATGTAAATATAATAAATATTTTGGCAGCAGTATTTCCACTCTGACACTTTTGAATTAGTTATCTGCACAGGGAAAAAATTCAGCCAAGCTTCTTAAAAAGTTAACATCAGATTTATTTATGTTTTTAATTATTTAAAATTCCAAACTTGATATTCTACAGTACAATATGACAAAATGTTACTAACAAGTTAATCAGTAAACTAATTTCAAAGTCAGATAATAGGTAAGTATACTTGGTCAAGAAACCTGAATTCTTGCCTTTTACACAGAAAGAATAATTAAATATCTTCAGAAATCCTGTTTACCACTATTATAATTTTAAGGTCACTGAATACAATTAACTAACTGGGTCATTTTGCTACTCCTGTCA